AAGGGCAGCGCCAGAGTTTAGAGCGGTCGACTGAGTCGAAAGCCGCTTTCAGATCCAGGAAGACAGAGATGGTGGGTCTACGAAAGGAGTGTCTATGTTCTAGAATTTAACGAAGAATGAAGACGTGGTCGATAAAACCTCGACCACGTCTAAAAACAGCCTGGTTCTCACGTGTGCACTCTTTCCGAGTGGAAGGCAATCGGCGGAGATCCCAGTGAGAAGTTTAGAGGCAATGTTGATCAAACTAATTTCTCTGTGGTTTTCACAGGAGGACCTGTCGCCCTCCTTGTAAATCGGTACGATCACCGATTCACACCATTCAGTTGGAACCTGTCCCTCTCCCACACTGAGCCCAGGACAGCCCGTCGGAACCGGAAGCCTTATACCTTTTGAGATTGCTTATTTCTTCGGTAACCTCCAAATGGAGGCCGATCGCTATTATATCTGTTCTACGATGACTTACCGCTGAGTCATTTCCGCTCGTCTTCTTCGGGATCTTGGCAGGCAAATCTCCTTGGTAAGGCGGGATTGGACTTCTAGTGGTTTTACCACTCTTTTTAAAGGAGAAAGAGGGCAACCCTGACGAACACCACTTTCCGTGGTGAACTCGGGCGAAAAGTGCCGTAAGCCCGAACTCCATTACGGCACAAAGTAGTCACGCGTGACAGATGGAGCAAAAGAAGTCGAACCCCCGTGGTTAGCTTAATCCGAGTGCATGGAATCTAACAGCGGGAGCACACCTCGTCAAGGATTCTGACTTGATATAAGACAGTAACTGTTCTCGTTCGCTGCCACATTTTTCAATATTTACAAACCACCAGTTACAGCCTTCTGAGGCCAAACCTGGAAGATAGGGAATACTTCAAAATGTAAACTATCTGATCTCTCCATGCATTTTTTCACACCTCGCTCCTACACCGTTTGTTGTATGAAACGTGATCTCTTCCAATGTGGAGCGGTAACTAAAAATACTGCTGGATCCAATAAACAAAGATGTACTGTTCCCGCTAACCCCGTGAACTGAAACATTCAGCAAACACATTTGTTGCACAGGAGGTGCCAGAGTGATACACCATTAACGCTGTTCACACAATTGAGGATGGTAATTTCTTCGCCTTTAATTCTGTTATTTCTGACCACATAAACTGCAGCATGCACGTGGACAGATGCAGCGAAACGATCCAGTATACACTGTGCAAATAAACCTGTTTTTGGTTTCTCTATTCAATTTAGTTACGACGGAATTGTGCTTACAGTTGGTGTTCTACTGTAAATGTTTACCGCGAACTATAAAACAATGGTCTCACAAGCACCTCACGAGGGAAATACCAATGATTGGGAAACACTGACATTGCGGGCGGGAAAATTGAACTAATCCTACAGAGACAAGTGATAAATTCAGGCTAAAACAAAAGGAAACGTCGGTCAACAGCAGCGCGATCGGCTAGCCTCAGCAGACTAGTCTTCATATTACCCAAGCTGGTCAAAAAACGTTCGCTGTACAGTTCATTCGAAGATTATCGGTCCCGGTTTGTCTACCACAAATGACGAACGTATTTTCCGGTGAAATAAGAGCCACGAAAAACGGACACCTTTTTCGATGCGCATTTTCTTCAGGAACAAATACGGAATAGAAAATGCTGTATGCGTGACAAAACTGTTTCAATCTCTTCCCGTAATACACAAAAATCCACATCGAAATCCTCGAAGAACACACATACTGAGTGCCGAAGAAGTGTGCGTTGAAAAAAGAATCCCAGATTAGTGAGATTTGTATAATTATTCAGTGTGAGTTTCTTCATCATCATGCTATAACAAATATAAGATGATATTCATTGTGTATTGTGAACGTATGTTTGTATTTATTCCGTGCATGTGTGTATGATTCCAGTGACTCTATGTGCATATGTATATGAATGAATGAGTGGATAAAAGCTCACTAGTGACAGGTTGGCCGGGGGTGAGTGAGAAAACCATCACATCGACTAGCGCCTGTTTGGCTGTTGGAACGAGCAGTCGAATCAGATCAGGGGTCACAGGTGAACATCCATTGAAATGGATTATCACATCAAGAGTGGTAGTTCTGTGTTTGCTTGAAATGGGTTGGCGATGGCCGTAGTGGACAAAGAAGACAGTTGTAGAGCGGAAATTGGATAGTTGACTGAAATTCGGGGATTTGACGGTTTAAGCCCAGTGATGGATGTAGAAACGCATGTGCTCGACTCTGTGCATCAACTGACACAATTGTACATCAGAACCGGAAAAAAACGAAAGAAATTAAGGTTTAAAAATTGATTGAAAGATAAGAATACAACAGGAACAGGAGATCAGATCAGGTCACACAGGGAATTAATATGTAGGCGAGAAACGGTTAAGAAAAGGCGATTACCCGTGTCACGAGGTACACAACTTCACACGAGAGCTCGATTCACAATCGACCAGAGAACAAGGAGTTGTATTGGGACTTATGTAAACCGACGGTGGACATGGTGTCACTAATGCGAACAGTCACTAGCGAGTTAGAGAAGAAGAATGAAAGGAAAATCGGGAAACCCACGAAAATTATATGCGGGGAGAATGTTCACGAACGATACAAGACAGAAGAAAAGAGCAAGAGCGAGGAATGGAGAATGGTCGTTCAAATCCCGATGTAGCAACAGAACTGCTCTTTTCCACTACGCAGCTCGGTCTGTCAAACAAGGCTACTTGGTGATAGGCGTGAAACGCACGATCCATGTGAAGATCATGCGGATAGAAAAACTGCGCGAGATGAGATGATGAAAGGCACAACACAGACTGGTGAGGGGTAAAAGATCATGAAAAATCATAGGAAACGGATAGATGAGGAGAGAAACAGAGAAAGGGAAACGAGGATGTATCAAAGAACAGGCGGGTATAAATAGTGATAGAATCTTGGGAGAATCCACGGAAATTCGATCCACTCGGATTGTTAGTCTGACAGTACCACAAAAAGGGAACAGCCAGAGAAACAGCCGGGCGGACTGAGTCGCGGGAATAAATCGGGAGGGGTAGAAAATAAAAACACCAGGAATGCACAGAGTGATCAGACGATCGAAATTCGGATGAGCACACAGTGAGACGTGGGTACCAAGTGAAACAATACGGAAACGATGAAGAATCAGACGAATGATGACACGGTAGTGCACCGGGTTGATAATGCAGCAGCAGCAGCCACGGGATCAATTGAACAGCGTGGTGCTTTGTAAGTGTGTAGGGGCATGCGGTCACATCCGATTGGTTTGCGACTAGGTAAGATTTGGGTAGGACAGCGCAGCAAGTATTTATGTATATCTATGCGCGCGTGTGCGTGTGTGTGCGGTTCGGTGTTAAATGACGTATGCCAAAAAAAAACGTAAAATAATAAGAATAACAATGCTAATAATAGGAATAATAATAATAATATCAATAGAATGAATAAACCGGCCGATAAAGCTTGTTGACGATCGCAAATGGATAATATCCGGGCACTACAAAAAGGAAAAAAGAATCAAGGCTACATTGAGCGAACTCTGAGGTGGTTTGTTTATCTCTCTCTCTCTCTTCTGAATGCATAAAAAGCACGATAACATATACAAATGAATAATATACATACATATGTATATATATTCATAGAGAGATAAAAGGAAGGGAAAGGAGAGAGAGAGAGAGAGAGAGAGAGAGAGAGAGGAGTAATAAGATAGGATTGTACGGGGATGGGGGATGATTGAAGAAAATACACAAGTGCATTATTATTATTATTATCAATATGAATAATATTATTTTAATCACATGAGTAATTCACATTAAGAAGCATGATTGGTCCGATCCGAGTCTAAACCTGAGTTCTGATTCGATTGTACGGATGGGA